TGCTGGTTATGAGTAGTTCTGATTCATGATAACCAAACCTCGAACGCTACTTAAACCCTTAACTTAATCATTAGGTTCAGTCATATTTTTATTTGGCGGACCCTACTTAAACCCTTAATTATTATTGGGTTCAGTCAACTGCTTCCCCTGGAGGAGAAAGCAGCAAGCTGGCAGCTGGCGGTTCATTTCCTGGTCATCATGTACTCTGTGAACGTCGCAGCGAATGTGGTAACTTTCAACGCTGCCATCAGCGCATGTGGGCAACGAGGGTATAGCCTCAAAGTATTTTGTGGTCAGGGCTGGGCTGAACGTTGACTATCTAACATCATCGGGATTAAGGATCTCATGCTTGCTTTTAGGGTTTATTGCTTAAGGAACGAACTTTCAGAATGAACGTCCCAAACTCTGAACTAGCCGATCTCGTTAGGTGAGCAGCGTGGTCGATGGCCGGTTGCTCTGGCACTTCTGGGCACCCTCAAAGATTGCAAGCTGCAGCCAGACATGGCCGGAACGGGTTTGTTCAGCATTTTGGGGTAGGGCTGTGGGTTTAGGGTTTAGGGGTAGGGCTGTGGGTTTACGGCCTTGGAAGCAACCGTTGGTTGATGTCTTGGATTAGGAATCAAAAGCATGATGGCAGGTGATTGGGTTCCCCAAAGACCTGTCTTACGCTACCCTATGTAATCCCAAAACCTCAAACTACCCTAACCCCTAAACCCTAAACCCTAAACCCTAAGCCCTAAGCCCCAAGCACCCAAGCTCAAGTCACCATGGCCATGTTTGGCAAGGCTCAGCTTTGGGGGGGGCTTTTTACAGAACAAGCAGGTATTGGTGGTCCTGTTTGAGCTTAGGATTTCCGGGTTATTTACGGGGTGGTCCCTATATGCCCTAGGCCCTAAACCCTACAGCCCTAAAGCTCTAAAGCCCTAAACCCTACAACCCTAAAGCCCTAAAACCCTAAAACCCTAAGCCCTAAACCCTACACCCTACTGACCCGGAAGCCCCAAAACTGTAGACCCTTGCGCCCTGCGGTTGGGGATTGGCGGCATGTATCTCGACCCTATGTCTTCCAACCCTGAAGCCTGACACTCTAAACCCCTAGCCCTGAAACCCAAAACCATGAACTCTAAAACCTTAAACCTTAAACCCTAAACCCTAGACCCGAAACCCTAGACCTTAAACCCTAAACCCTAGACCTTAAACCCCAAACCCTAAACCCTAAACCCTGAAGCCCCAAACCCTAAACCGGCATGCTGGCCTCTCGGGAGGTGAGCTATAACAGCGCCTTGAGTAGCTGCTTCTCGGCTTTTGCTCACACACTTTAGGGTTTAGGGTTTTAGGGTTTAGGGTTTAGGGTTTAGGGTTTAAAACCAGGTTTAGGGTCCCCCCCCCCCCACAGGGGCAGTAGTCACCTAAAACACAGGGTTAGGGGCCTGAGGGGTTTAGGGTTCTTGGTTTGGGGTTTAGGGCTTGGGGTTTAGGCTTCTTGGTTTTGGGGTTTTAGGGTTTAGGGTCTAGGACAGAACGTATGGTTAGTCACCTACATGAACCTGCTATTTAGGTAAATGGAGCCCTAGGGGGTGTGCTTATCTCAAGCAAGGGGTTGTTTGTGTTTAGGATTCAGACCCTAAACGCTGAGCCCTAAACCCCTTAACCCCTAAACCCCCCGAGCCCCTAAACCCCTGAACCCTAAGCCCTTGAGGGCTTAGGGTTTAGGGTACCCTAAGTGTTTACAGTCCGGGCTTCGGGGGTTTTGGTTTGCAGGTTTGGGGGGGCAGCTTGACAGGGGCTACCAAAGTTAGTACTTAGGGGTCCTTGTTAGGGTTTAGGGTTTATAAGGTTTAGGGTTAGAGTTTAGGGGTTAGGGGTCCTTGTTAGGACTATATTAGTCCTTAGGGGTCCTTGTTAGGACTATACTAGGATTTTATTACAGTATATACTCTAGCGAGTACACCCCCCCCTGAGACTCCAAAATCCCTATCGAACCCTTAAAGGAGACCTTTAAAGGAGCCTTAGTCCAATCATCAAAGCCCCCCGCGCAAAGCCCGTATATCTAAGCAGTCCAGGGACTCCCGGATGGAGTTTGTCAGCTTTGGCAAAGGGGGTTTGGTAAGGGGTAGCCCTAAGGGTCCAAGTAGCCATTACTTAAAGACATTGGGGCCTTGTTGGGTACCTAAAGCCATAAATAAGGACTACTTGGGCCCTTAGGGTCGGGTTTAGGCTTAGGGTTCTATGAGGATCCAAGTCGGGTTCAGGGGGCCCTAAACCCCAAACCCCCTAAAGCCCTGAACCCTAAACCCTTGGGTGAGCGCTAAAGGGTTTGGGATCTTGGGTTGGGGGGCTTTAGGTCTGGGATCGTAGGTTCAGCGTTGTGGGGCCTGAGCTCCCTGAACTGCCGCAGCCATCGCTTGCATGATCCCGACTACCCATGGCTCCAGGGTAGTTCCTTTTTGTGGTTCATATTTGGGATCCTATATGGTAATCCGAGGTCCTAAAAAGGAACTACTATGGAGCCTATGGGTAGGGCCTTTCTAACCCCACTACTTCCCAAAAAGTCCCGTATGCGTAGCAGACTCTGTGACGAGGCGAAAAAGCTTCCCACTGGCAGCCAGCCCTGCAGCTGCTCCTTGTATGCTTATCCGAGCAGCAGAGTAGGCAAACGTTAACCAATTGGGGGGCGATTAGAATCCCTTTAAAATATGAAAGGTTAACCTTTAATCCCGTAGGATACTGGACAAGCAGCTTCTTGAAGGAACCCCCCCAACTCATGTTTGTCTTTAAGTGTGCTACTACCGGTCTAGCAACTCCTGTACCTGAGCACTTTCTTTTTATGATCCTGTCAGATCCCTAATCCCTGAACATGTCGCTGCTTCTGTTGATGATACAAATCCTGCATTACCTTGAGGACCCTAAACTATGCGAATTATGGTCCTAAACCCTAAAACCCACAGCATAAGGGAACGGTAAACTCCTATATCCCCAAGGCCTTGTGCAGGGGAACCCGGCCTTCAAACCCATGGTATTCCTTAAGGGAACCCTAGAACCTTACAGTATTAAAAGCGCAGAGCAACCTTTAATGGACGCCTCTAGAGAAGCTCTACATTCAAACCCAAAAGCTCGGATCCCGAATCCCTGAACCCTAAGCCCTCAGCGAAGAGACCTTTGAAGGAACTCGACAAACCCTAAACCCCTTAACCCTGAGCCCTAAACCCTAAACCCACTAAACCCTGAACCCTAAACGCGCTAAACCTTGAATCCTAAACCCTGAACCCTGAACCCAACACCCTGAACCCTAAACCCAAAACCCTGAACCCTAAACCCCAAACGCTCTAAACCCTAAACCCTGAACCCTGAACCCAACACCCTGAACCCTGAACCCCAAAGCCCTGAACCCTAAACCCACTAAACCCTGAACCCTAAACCCTAAACGCACTAAACCCTGAACCCTGAACCCAACACCCCGAACCGTAGACCCTGAGCCCAAAACCCTGAACCCTAAACCCTAAACCCTGGGGCCTGAAAACCCTGTTCTTTTGGATCCCAGGTTCACGGACCTGTCTCCGGGAAGTTTGCGGCCCAACGCTGCTGGCAAGCAGTCCTTGCCTGGGGGGGATTAGGGCTCTTAGCAGTTGAATGATAGCAGAATGGTTGGGGTTTAGGGTTTCGGGTTCAGGGTTTAGGGTTTAGGGCACTTCTAAACTTTTTGGGATAAGATGATCCCTTATAGAACTGAAAGTGCACTCTTTTGGTGCTTATGAACTGCAGCAACTAAGGGTTTAGGTATTGTCGGCCGACGTGGTTCGAGAATTTCGGATGCAGAGCTTGTATTGGGTTTATGGTAGTAGGGTTTAGGGTTTAGGCTTTAGGATGGTAGGGTCTAGGGGATTAGGATTTCCGGTCTAGGGTTGCGGCTCAGAGTTTTAGGGCCTTTTAGGGCACCTTCGGATCCAATCAGATAGTCTTTGAAGAAAGACGGCCCCTGAAGATACCCAGAGAGCCCAACACCCCTTAATTAAGGAACAGACCTTAAATTATAGGGGCCTCAGTATTGTGATTTAAGGTATATTCCTGCATTAAAAGGTATGGGGCTCCCTGGGTAGAGGACTAGGAATTTGGCGTGTATTGTGGCCACCGATTTGCAATTCTTAGACTGGAATCGCTGAGGCTTTATCTATAGGGTTTATAGGGTTTAGGGTTTAGGCTTCTTCTATAGGGTTTATGGGGTTTAGGGTTTGATGGTTCCGTGCCTAAAGAGCCCAGTAGCCCTGACTTATAAATGCCACACCTTCAACGTCAAGGGGTGAAATTCATTTGCTCAAGGCTTAAACCCTAACCTTACCAAACCCTCAACTCTTAAACCCTAAACCCTAACCCCTGAATTCCACACTTCTTAAGTACGGGGGCTCTTTGGGTAGGTGTTATTCATGCTGGAGGATTGGCTTCCATACTAAGCCCTGCTTCCTCACCCTCACTCGAATAGCACGGAAGCAGCCCTAAATATTATATAACGTACTAGATAAAATATCCTAAATCATAAACCCTAAGATTATACATGTATGACATGCATGTATGTGTGCGTGTATATATATATATATGTATGTATAGAGAGAGAGAGAGTTTCCAAGATCAGACCACGTGGGTATGGTATATAGGGACGATAAGGCGAACTGTTAGTTAGTAATCATTCCGACCACTACACTAATAGGGCTTACCCATAGGCTCCATAGTACGTAGTTCCTTGTTTGGGATTGCCTTAAAGGATCCTAAACATGAACCACAAAAAGGAACTACTATGGAGCCTAGGGTTTAGGGTTTAGGATTACACCGTCGTCTCTTGTGGTTCACTCGCAACCCCCCCGACAAGCTCAAGCCGACGGGCCTAAATACATGTATATAAGGGTCTAGGGTTTAGGGTTTAGGGTTTAGGCTGTGTTTATGTCTTCTGCATGATGTACGTATGTTTTTTATGAGTGCATGCATGTGACGTAACAACTTTGCAAACCGAATTATCGTCAGTTTACCTCCACATGCCCCTAACACTACTTGAATTGATCAGCACTGCAGCACCCGAAACCCTAAACACCTAGACTCTAGACACTAAGCCTTAAACGCTAAACCCTAAACGTAGCTCTTTAAGCCGGGGTTTTGTAGGATTCGTTTATCAGCTCTGTAAGGAAGCTACCCCAAGCTACATGTGCCGGGGGATCCTCGACATGATGTGCGGTAGGGGGGGTTAGGGTTTATAGGGTTTAGGGTTTATGGGGTTTAGGGTTTAGGGTTTATAGGGTTTAGGCTTTGTCTATAGGGCTCATAGGGTTTATAGGGTTTGGGCTTCGGAGTCTCTGGGAATCTAGGCCATCACGTTCGGTGCAGCCTTGGGCGCGTGCAGGGGCGCCTGGAGAGAGGCCCTGCTTGCATGGGTTTAGGGTTAGGGTCAAGGGTTAAGGGTTTCGGATTTAGGGTTTAGGGTTAAGGGTTTCGGATTTAGGG